TTTAGGCCTAATATAGTAAAGGGTCATGGGCCAAATTTGGCCAAAAATAAAAAGTAGAGAATGCTCCATTTTAATAATTTCCTTATGTCACGTAGAAAGTTTAGCTGATTCCAACCAAGTTTGTATTTTTTACAATTTTTAAAAGTTGCTCCAAATAGGGCCACATTTGGTACTGTATACAAGGGCGTAGGGGAGAAAAAAAGAAAGGGGTAGGCTACGGGGAGAAAAGGGCGTGTGAAGCGCACTGCCGATTTGGCCACGCCCACTTTTACAGCCGTGAAATGGGCGTGTTCTCGCAAGATGGAGTGTTCTTCCATGGTTCTTCACTCTCAGACTCAGATGAGGACTCAGGCAAGACTCAAGGTAGCAGCACAATCAACAAAATCATCATTCACAGGATCATCATCTTCAATCTCCTCATGCTCATCTTCAGTACAAATAGTCTATATGGCTGGGGTTGACTACTAATATACTCAACTAAAATTTGCATAAAAATTAACAAAGCTTTTGTTTCTTTGCAGCTGACATTGTGATAATGTGATGGCTTCACTTTTTATTAAGCTAGCTAATTAATTAAGTTAATTAATTATGTAAAGACTCCACCTTTAATAATTGTGCTAAAATGGCTGGTTTTCTTTTCTTTCTGTCTCTGTTTGCTCTGTCTCTGTTTGCCTGTGTCAAAAGTGACTGAGTGAGTAACTGCCAGTTGAGACAACTACCCTAAACTTTTATAATCTTTGGTCATAGGTGACTAAGGCAGAAACTCAATATAGGTAAACTACTAAACTTCAATTCTGACTTCTGAACTTTAGGGTAGGCTATAGCCTACCCTAGCCTTATGCTAGCTACGCCCTTGACTGTATATGTAGGTAAGGATGATTCAGGCAATTCAAAAAATCTGTTACATTTTCTGATGCATAACAAAACACATGTGCTGATACAATCTCTCTCTCTCTCTCGTACTTTGCATTTCTGTCCGAGGAGTTTTGGGTCTCTCAGTTGATCTACTACTTTAGCCGCAGCCTCACGAGTTTCCATGACAACATAGGCACACCCACGAGCAACAATAAACTAAAAGTACAGGAAGAGAATATTATAATAAGAATACAGGTTACATGTGTACATGTACATGTAAGTGCATGTAGACTAACATCAATTGAAGTTACTGCTCCGTATTTCTCTAACATTTTTGACAGCTGGTCAGTGTGACAATTTCAACAATTTCATATGTAAAGTCTAAACCTGCAATATCGCGTGCATTACACATGTAGTTTTAACTTTGTTTTAAACCCTCAAACAAATTGCAACAAACTGCAGTTTTAAACCCTCGGTCTATTATACAACCAGCCCTTGCTTTCTTGCTGTTGGATATCTTATAGGTTCTGCTTCAAGTCATGGCAGTAGACAAAGCTAAATTTGAGACGTCGCCCCCTGTTGCTAGGGCAGTCTGTATCCTGGCCAGCAGCGATGATGTCAAAGGGACCATTGAGTTTATTCAAAACGTAAGAGCCAGTGAGCGTCAAGCTGCTAATTATTAGCTTGTTCTAGTTTATGACTTTAGATATACACGTGTGTCTTTAGCTGTTACTGAGAGAGTGAGAATAGAATTTATTTTTGCCTTGCTTTTTGCACATGCTCATTGGCATGTAACCACAAAAATGCAATTGCTTATTTTTAACAAAACATCAAATTTACAAGCTCTTTGCATAATTTGGTGTGACAGTTTTGTGTGTTTAAAGTATATAAACCTGCAATATCGCGTGCATTAGTTTCAATGTTAGCTATTTCATGCAGCAACAGCCTATTCTTATCACTTTAAGTTATGTATTTTTAATCAGTGATTTGCTAATGTTATTGATTTAGCATGTACTAATTTTTTGCAATTTTGCTCTTTTCTCAATTTTCCATTCGCAAAAAGGCATAACAATTAGTTCCCACAAAAATAGTGGCTTTAATAGTGGCTACATATATTATGTATCTCTTTTCCCTCCCCCATCTCTCTCTCTCTCTCTCTCTCTCTCTCTCTCCCCCATCTCTCTCTCTCTCTCTCTCTCTCTCTCTCTCTCTCTCTCTCTCTCTCTCTCTCTCTCTCTCTCTCTCTCTCTCTCTCTCTCTCTC